AAGGCGCCGGGGGCGTTTCGCCGATCGCCCTTGGGATTCGGTTTGATCGGTGAAGGAGGCGGGGGTTGCGCGGCGTTTAAACGGTCCATAGTCAAGCGTGTACGAGGATCGCTCTGGTGAGGTGTGCCGGTGGCACCACGGGAGTTACCGTGGAGTTCCATGTTAGAAGCCCCTGGTCGCTGGTTAGGATTGTGCAGAGCACCGGGGCGGTCCCACTCGCCCTTCTTCTCCTTGCCAATTTTCATCCAGTCGTACTCGCCATCTTCGACGTCACCGGCATCCTTCAGTGCCTGCGTGAAGAGCTCTCGGAGGTAGTCGTAGTCCGGGGTGTCCTCGAACCCCAGGTTGCGTACGTAGGTCAGGTACTTCTCGAACTGAATCGGAAAGCCATCGCACAACTCCTTGATCGGAGTGGTCTGCTTCTTCTCACCAATCTTCTCGTACTTTTGCTTGTTAGTCGCAGCCTTGAGGCCTTGCCACGGCAGGCCGCCCCGCAGGAAGTACATGAAGACATGCCCCAGAGCCTCAAGATCATCACGCCGAGACTGCTCTCGTCCGAGATGGGTGTTGATGCTCATATAACGGGCGGTACCAGACAGACTCTTTCGCTCTCTGTAGGGTATGTGTTGCTTCGTCTTGGGGTCACGGTATTGTTTGGCCATGCCAAAGTCGACGACGTGTATGACATTTGCAGTCTTTGTGCCTGGTCGACCGATCAAGAAGTTGTCGGGCTTGATATCTCGGTAGATGAGGTTCTTCTCGTGGATAGTCTGTACGCGGGACAGCTGTGCCATTCGTTAGCATGTCAGATGCCGAACTGGACCTTTCGTGCGAGGCTACAAACCATCTGCTTAGCGACCATGACGACTGTCTTGATAGTGAACCGACGGTTGCAATGATCGAAGAGATCCTCGAGAGAGGGTCCGAGAAGGTCGATGACGAGGATGTTGTGCAGACCCTCCTGACCGAAGTAGTAGACGTTGGGGATGCCCGCTACGAGGCTGAAGTTAGCTTGGGGATAGCACAGAAACTGAGATAGAGTGTTGACTCACGGCAGCCGACGAGAATCTTGTAGGTACGATACTCGTCACGAAGCTGGGGTGCATCGCTCTTCCGTGGTTCCTGTTTGATGTCTTGTCAGATTCCTCACCGTCCTATTCGACAACACCATTCGGATGCGAAGACCTGGCGCCGGGAAGTACATACAAATTTGATGGCCACCTGCTGATTGTTGAGCAGATTCGTGCCTTCGAAAATGACACCAAAGGAGCCCTCGCCGATCTTCTTGCCTACTCTGTAGTGGACACCGACGACATTGCTGCTGGAGGACGCCATTATTGGAGACTCGGATGTCCTTTACGGACGGAGAAGGATGAGGGCGACGGGGTCGGAGGCCGGTGGTGCAGCGAGCGGAAGGAGATTGTCGAAGCACAACTCGGCTCGTCAATTGCCTACTGTGGAGAATAGCAACTAGCGGTCAGCGAAAATGGTCGATCATATTCCCCAGGTGACGGGCACGAGTGGAAAAGAATTGACGGTCGGAGACAGAGGACGAGAGAGTGTCGGAGTGAGGTGAAGAGGACGGATGGATTGAGGAGGGATGGTGTGAAGAGGCGAGAATAGTACGTGGGCGGATGGGTACAGTGAAGGTGAGAGAGTTGCAGGCACACGCAGACATACCTGGTTCGACGCAGCAGACACCAGCAGACTGAGAAATGAGACACACACACACACACACAGAGAGAGAGAGAGAGAGAGCCTGTCGGAGCAAGGCAAAGGATCGGGGAGTGGGTGGATGGATGGTTGTCCCTGGAAGCAGTGCTAGGTTAGAGTGGAATTCCAGTGGTGGCCGTAGCCGTGCCGCCGGCGTTGCGAAAAGCTGTGGCCTCGGGGGACGGATGTTTGATGTTTGGCAATAGGGAGAAAGACGGTACGAACCTGGACCGTTCTGTGATGGCTGAGGCTCCAGATAAACACCGGGCCTGCCTTTCTCTCGGCTTGTCTAGTCTAGTCGATGCTCAGGACGGACGCCTCCCGCGAGAATTTGAGGATTGCCCCGGCTGCAGCAGCGCGTGATGGGGGAAAGGACTCGCAGA